CTATGATAATTCTATAAAATAATTGTAATAATATTTAAATATCATCAGGAAATTCTAAAACACAACGTGCCTTGTAGCTCAAATGGTTCATCTTTGCTTCCCTAGCTATGCCCGAAGTGGCCAGGTTCGATACCTAAGGTGGGGTGCGTAACAAGCTATTTTCTTTGCAGTGTTGGACCATTGATAGTCATTGATCAAATATATTGTGCATAATTTGACATGAACAAAAGATGACTTGGTGGTTATCCTACATCCCCCCTCCCCCCATTTTTTCACTTTTTTGAGTGCCATATTGCAAAAAATGAAAATGCACATAAATAATTTGATAAAGTTTTGAATATCTTTTACAGTTAATATTATAGAGATGTTTTTAAATTTCATTATACGATGAAAGACAATTTTTGTAACTAAATGTAGATATTATTATGATTATTCTATAGTAATTTCAAAATATAATTATTATAATAATTTTTAAATATGGACAAAAAAATCTATAAACCGATACGACAACATATTTTGGTTCCATAGTTTTCAACAAAAAATTCAATTCGCTTTAATAAAGTGGAATTATACATTATTCATAAATAAATACATTTGTGAGAGATATATCCATCTATGAACAATGGGTAGTGTTGCGCTGTTAAAAACAAATAAACAATTTTGTATGATTATACACCCAAAAAATCATGCAAGTATCTAGAATTTTCTAACAAAATTTAGATATTATTACGATTATTCTATGGTAATTTCATAAAATAATTGTAATAGTATCCAAATATAGTCAGAAAACTCTACAAAATGGCATGGCAACATATTTTGGGCTCATAAGGTTTCCATAAAAATTTTAGTTCATTTTAGTATATTGGGATTATATATTGTTCATAAATAGGTACATCTCTCCTTTAGTTACATGTAACTATGTGGGAGTATCAGGTTTGTGAACAATGTGTAGTACTGCTTTACTACTTTGTTAAAGTCCTTTGATTTTTTGGAATGATTATACACCAAAAATGTATTTTCATGCAAGTTTATAGAATTTTCTAACCAAACATAGATATTATTATGATAATTTTATTGTATTCCATAGTTAGCTTGTTATACATTGTTAGTATGCAAAAACAACCACAAACACCTACATAGTGCAGTGGTGGGTGTGCTTGGTGTTCAAGTGGATAATCTTAGGCTCAAGTTCCTATGGTGTGTTTTTTGGTTTGTTTTTTTAATCAGTTTTTAGTTGTATTAAAAGTTAACTTATAATACAAAGATTTTACTATGCATGGTTAAACAAAAACACCAACATAAATATGTAGTGGTAAGTCAACTCCCTTATGATTATGATAGGAGGGTCTCCGGTTCAAGTCCTACTTGTGCATCTTTTTGTCTTTTTTATATTTTACTAGTTGTATTAATGGTTAACTTATAACATAAAGAATATTGTGCATAAAATAACACAAACATGAACATAACTTAGTGTAAGTCTACCCCCTCATGATGGGTGGGTCTTAAGTTCAAGTCACACCTTTGCCTCATTTTTGCCTAACTTTTTATATTTCCTAACATGTGGGCCTAGCAATGAGTTTTTGGAGGGTTTTGGAAATGCCATGGGGCTTAGGAAACAATTTTGGATGGGCCCTAGCCACCAAAAGTCCCACCAAATACAAGTGCCGCCAACGACATCATAACATGTTACTACATTCGTTTAGGATTCTAGTTGTAATAAGCATATAGCAATTGGAACACTATTGAAGATTATTATAACAAAAAAATCATGGAAATAGGAACATGTTATTGCATCGATTTATAATATTCATTGCAATAACCACCTACCTATTGCAACACCACTAAAGATTATTGCAACTCGACTATGGCAATAGTTACAACCAAAAGCAACCAAATCCAATATGGTTGCAATAACATCAAATAATTGCAACAAAAATCAATACTAATGCAACTCCCAACCAACTGCAACATAATTCTAAAATGGTCGCGGTAGCACCTTCCTGTTGCAATGAAAATCTCACATATTGCAACACAATTTATTCATAGCAATATAGTCACATATTGCTACATGTTACAGAAAGGTTGCAATATGACCTACCTATTGCACCCAAATTAGTGATGTTGCAATGGTGTCTCGTGGCATTAGTCCAAAAATCTAGTAGGCATGAGTGGCTTACCTTGAATCAACTTGTGCTAAAGAACAAGGCTTGGGGAAAGAAAGGATTATATTGGACTCCTTTCTTGGTTCTCCATCTTCTTTCTCCTCCTCTTTTCTCCACCCAATGGCCAGGGGAATGAACTCTCCTAGTTCATCCTTGTCATGGTGGTAGTGGAGCTGCTGGTGGTGATGATCTTGTCCTTTCCCTCCATCATTCTCCCTTCCCTTCCTCCTCCTTGGTGCATCGATGAACTCAAGAGCTAGAGAGAGAAAGGGAGTTGGAGAGTGTAGAAACTAAGTTTTGAGGTTTCCAGGCAAGAATGGATTGCCAGCTCGTGCTGACTCGTGGGGCCACAAGCAAGGGGTGGCTGCTAGCTTAAGTTCTGCATGGACAGTTTCGGGTGGACTATATGTTTGAAAGCACTCTAGGCGACTACAGATGTGCACATATAGACCATTTATTAGATCAGACATGTTGTCTGTCTAATCGCAACAGAGCCAATTTTTAGTGTTCTAACTCATCTAGTTTTCCTAATATAATCTTTAGATGTCAGTTATGCACATGATGCTCATAATAATCAAAATACAATAGCGAGTCATGACAAGTATCGTGCTTATTTGTTAAGTGTTAACATTGAAATACATTTTCATTCATTTGACATAGATTTTTTATGTTTACTTTACCCTATGTTATTTTCCAAGGATGAACATTTTATACATACATTAATATGAAAGAGACATGCTAATAATTTGATAAGAAAAAAGATGTATGTGACTGCATGACTTGGATGATCAGCAATCAAGTTATTTATTCAACTTGCTATCATATTGCATTACTGTTATATAGACCTAATTTAATGAGCAAGGGTTTTCGTGACCATGCCATTAAGAGGAAGAACGGAGTTTTAAACATTACAAGCGCCCATAGGCCCTGACTTACCCGAGAAGGCCCTACCCTAAGCATTCGTAAAATTCTATTAGAGCAATCTTAATAATAGTCTTATAGCCAAGCTAGTCAAAATTTTTGCTAATGTGGAGGAGAGAAAGGCGGAGCCTACAAGCAATAAGTTGTGTGCACAAGAGCTTATTTAGTGGATGGTATGCCAAGATAGCAAGTGAATGTGACAAGAACGTCTAAAAATCTCGATTTCTAGGGGCGAGCCATGTTGCAGATCGTGCCTAGAGTTGCTTGGAGATGATTTTTTATCCTAGGAAACACAAACACTCGTATTTCGTGCTTGACTTGCCCCAAGTTTTTTCTTAAATTTCTATTTTTATGTTGGTTCTAAAATGTCTACAAAATCAACTTTTAGGGATATGCCACGTTATCGATTGATCCTAGAAATTGATTTCACTTATCGCTCTTGTTATTATTTTTTCACCCCTAAAAGTACTTAATTTCTAGGGATTCCTAGTAATAGAAGAGGTTAGGAAAACCACCTCTACAAATCAAATATGACTATTTCTAAAAATGTTGTGTAGCCGTGACAAAACCATATCTCTTATATTGGAACAATTAATTAGGGTATGGAGTGAAATATTGCAATAGTGACACCCTTAATATTCTCATCGGAAGTACTGTGGAAGCTAAGGTTTTCTCCCGATACCATAGGCAAATACTGTAGAACGGCTAGAGGAGCTAGGGAACTTCAATTTTTTAGCGTTTTATTTGAGAACTATATCTAATAAATTATTTGCTCTAGCAAATAGCCTCATAGAAATACTTGATTAGGGAACCGCCACTACAAATAAAATATGACCATTTCTTAAAATGTTTTATGTAGTAGTGATAAAATCATATCTCTTCTATTAGAGCATTTAATTAGGCTATTGATTGAAAATATTGCAATAATTACACCCTTGGTATTTTCATGGACAAGTATTGTGGAAGGTTTTTCTCTCGAGACCATGGACAAGTACCGTAGAGTCGCTAGAAAGAGCTGGGGAAATTCAAATTTGTAGCATTTTATTTTGATAACTATAACTATAGCTAAGAAGTTATTTGCTCTAGCATAGTCTCATAGAAAGTTCGTTTAAGAACACATATTAAGATATTGATTCCACCGTCGTGCAATCCCTGATTCCTCGACCCTTGATATATGCATATATCCTCATCACAAGGCCGACTTGTGGGGGAGCTTTGGGATATGACCTTGTTCTTGTAGGCATATCACTGTCCTGTGTAAACTTTCTTTCAGAGTGAACTTCATGCCCAGAGCCTGTGGTCTTTTTGTACAAAACTTGTACGGTTTGACCTTTGGTGCATTTTCATCCTTACACCTAAATGGTGGACAAAAATAGGAGAAGTAAAATATCACACACACAAGTTTTTTTACAGATCAAAGGCTAAATTAAGTTGCTTTAGTGATCTTTTAACAAACTATGGGAGTTTGTTTACATTGTTTATAAGTCAAGAACGAATAGTCAATTAAACAATACAAGAAGCCATTTTAATTTTGTCTAGGCCGGAGTACTATACTTGCTGCATATGGATGACGATTTTTTAATATTCCTAGATTGTTGTTTTAACTTCTGAAACACACCTTGAAGCATCATTATTTGTCTTACAAGATGATTCCAGCAAATTATCAACACAATATTATGTTGAAAATACTTTAATTTGGTACAAACATCTTATATCATTTCTTATAACTAACGTAAAGTACTAGGGCTGATGCTTTTGTGTCATGTTTTTTTGTTTTTGTTTTTAAGAATCATATGGATTTTCCACAAAAATAGTGCTACAAAGTAAACTCGTCGTCATTGCAAGGATATCTCAATATGTTTGAACTTGAAATAAGTAGTGTGGAGACTATAGAGAGAGAGAGAGAGAGAGATTTACTTAGCGGTGATCGGATACTGTGGCAAGAGCTCTCTCATCATTTGAATAAACTCCAACCGGTGCACCACTTCGCCAATGCAGAGGTAGCGTCCATGCGCAGTAGGGGTTTTGTACAACCAACACATGGGCACGCGCAACATCCTGCACATCGACAAACCCGGAGACAGCATTCGGGCACGCCTTCCTGGTGCCCTTCATGCAGGAGACAATGAGCATGTACATCGCCAGGTGCAGCGCCGGCTGCAGCGTTTCACCTAGCGTGAACGCCGGCACGACCACCACCAGGTGTATCCCTCTCTTGGATGCCTCCTCCATGGCTGTTTTCTCAGCAACCGTCTTCGCGACGCAGTAATAGTTCTGTAATTCAACATGCATGTTCCGTTAACAGGATATATATATACACTTAGGGACGATGAAAGATCGATTAAAATTTCTGAATCAGTTATTCATCATTAGGTCAGCGCTCTTAGACCTTTGTTTTTAAGCAGAATTCAATGTCACTCCAGCAACTCTCATCCACAACCTGATCAGGACTCCTGTTTGGGTTCATATGGACGGCACCGTCGGATGAAGTGTACACCACGCGTTGCACTCCCATATCTGCAGCAGCGTTGATGGCATTCTTCGTTCCCTCAATAGCAGCAGCCATGAGTTCCTGCACATGATACAGGTACATATATATATATATACTTTGTGGCTTACGACATGGAAGACGCCCTCACAAAGTACTAGGCTGACGGTAGAATCGAACTAACAGGGTCGTTCTCTGAAACCGGGCAGGCGACATGGAAGACGCCCTCACAAAGCCTCTAAATGCCGCAACGAGCGACTTGTGGTCCAACACATCAGCACGGCACACAGAGGGGGCTGAGTCATTATCTGCGAGAGAAGCATATATACAAAATCCCACCGATAAATAAAATAAACTGAGTGGTCTCAGACTACCACTACTACACAATGGACTTGTTGTCCCGAGCGATAACGGTCTTTAGTCCTGGTTACCGCGCCGGGACAACGATCCCGGGACTAAAGGTGCCACCTTTAGTCCCGGGTCATCGAGCCGGGACTAAAGAGGGACCTTTAGTCCCGGTTGGTGTTACCAACCGGGACTAAAGGCCCTCCAGCCGAGCAAACGTGGCCGCACCCTTTAGTCCCGGTTGGTAACCCCAACCGAGACTAAAGGTTCCTTTTCTTTTTCTTTTTTTTTTAATTTGTTTTCAGTTCAGTTACACGTACTTGTTTAATATATAATATGTTTTTATGTACGTATTCTACGCTGCTAATATAAATACACGCACGCATATAATTACATTTAATTCTCATCTCGAGCATTATTATATTCGAATAAAGTATGAACCTATATATATTATAGATATATATATATATGTATATATACAACACTTTCATAATCTTGTTCTCAAAAATAACGATATCAATAAACATTTAATTTACATCATTTATTCCTTAGGATCAAAGTAGAACTCGCCGTTGGAATTTAACACTTTTTCTAGAAGATATCCTGCTATTGACTCCTGAACTGCTTTCAGATGGTCTTTTTGCATGACCCTTCGTTTCAACCATTCAGTCTTGCATTTGAAATAAAAGGAAAAGTATTAATACATATATATATATATATATTCATTTAAAAATAAATAAAAAAATTGATATATACGTACTCTAAGGACATCTTTAGGAGTTCTTCTTATGTGCGCAGTGATAAATTCACAAACGTAGTATCCACACAAGTTATTACCTGGTTCCTGCCGCAAACACCACTGTACGAGAAGAAGATTATTCTCATTATCTCACATGTAAATTGAAGTACGATATAGTAATTAAACACATGGGGAAGTGTATATAGTACAACTTATTGGTATTTCAACTACATTAAGTGGTGCCTTGCAATCCTTGCGATGTTGCCGAATAAACTCTTTCCAAACCCTATGCGACCAATAATGTACGATCGTTAATAAATTATGGCAAAGTCTATTCAATAATAGTTGTGCGCGAGAGATCGAAATTACCCCTGGATAATGTCTATCATATCTTGGTATAGTGCCCGCTCTTTTCTCAACGAGTCAAAGATTACTAACCGACTTGAGTTTAACTCAATGACAATGAGTATCCAGTGAAACATGTATTGGTTTATACACACACGTACATGCATATAAGTTGTATTGATATTACATAAAATATGTAGACTACATTATTATTAACACTTACTCAAAGCTTTTGTAGGTATCCTTGTCTGCTGGGAATGCGTGTAGCCACGGAACCGCCACATAGCCTCTTGTTCGACCACCGTGTTTGGGATTCTCTAGGGCATATGTCAATTCATCCTTCTCTCTGTTGGGCTTGAAAACACCACTATCAGCTTCTTCCCTAGCACGAGCTAGTCTCTGTGTTGCTCTCTCAATTTTTTGGCCGAAAATTAGCTTGCCAGTGTCTGGGTCTAGGCTTCCCCCATGAGCGTAGAACCAATTCTTCGCGCGTTGAGGTTAGTTCTTCTCTATTGTTTCAGGTATGATTCCCTTGGCAGTAATCTCTGCTTTTAGGTTCTGCCACTTGGGAATAGCACTCCTATAACCACCTGATCCCATGCGATGATGGTATTGCTTCTGTCGGGTATTCTGTCGATTCCTCATCACATGTTCCTCACTGTCTTGAAATGTCTTGTATTCTACGAAGGCATCCCAATGGGACTCCAACTTGACAAACGCCTTAGCATTGAAATTTGGCGTAGCATTCTTCAAGATAAACTTTTTATACAATGTCTTCTTCCAACTCTGGAACAATGTTGCCATCTTCTTCATTGTCCAATCCCTCACTAGCTCCTTCAAAGCATCATCTGCTTGTAATGTGAAATGCTGAGTGATATCTCTCCAAGCTAGGTTCTTGTCACGATCAGATACAAAACTAACATTAGGAGCGGATATCTTCTGCTTCCATTCGCGAGCACTAACTGGGATCCTATCCCTTACAATGAACCCACATTGATTGACATATGTCTGAGCATGTGGTCCCAATGGTTTGCCGGTGTCGGTGTCGAATTCTGATATTATGAAACGACCCTCTAATGGCTTTTTTGGCCCTCGGACTTTCCTACTTTTGTCGATGGTTGATGTAGATCCAGAGACCGGCTACATGAGTAGAAACACAACGATTAACAACAAATATACGTACGCATGCATCTATAAGAGATGATAGATAATCGAATATACCTCGCCAGTATTTTCTTGCGCGACAATTTGTTGATTTTCAACCACCGGCATATTCAGGATATCCTCATAATCAGCAAAGTACTGACTCGTGTCATCTACATCCACATTGGTGCCAGCGTTGATAATATCCGCCATTATGTCATCATCCGGAGCAGCCATTTGTATCTTCAAGATAACACATAGATAGAATTACTATGGTACATAACATAAGTACATGTGATAACACATATAGAATTACTAAATCCAATTAAATATAATAACACATAATATTTTATAAGGATAAACAATAATAAGGTATAGGCTTTGGAATCGAATCAAAAACACTTTCGATCCAAAAACATGGAAATAAGTACATGTATATATATACACATATAATGATACAATATATTTTCTCTCTCTCTCAACACATAGAAATAAGTGCATATGTCTATATCTCTAGATATGCATGTGATACACATAGAATGTCTCTCTAGATACAATTTTCTCTCTCTCTCAACACATGAAAATAAGTACTTGTATATATACATATAGAAATAATTAAGTACATATGTATACACATAGAATCTCTCTCTAGATATAATATATATAGAGAGAGATATAGAATATATAATTACTAAATCCAATTAAATAAATCTAACATAAAATTAGATAAACTAGTAATAGATAATACATTTTAATCTAACATATATCAAAAACTATAATAAAAAACTATCTAAAAAAACTATCTAAATAAAATACTAATTAAATTTTAATACATTTAATCTAATATATCAAAAACTACCTAAGAAATAACTAAAAAACTAACAATAATAAACTACTAATTAAAATTTAATACATTTTAATCTAACATACAATTAGAGACTTTGTAAAAAAAATCTAAAAAGCATGGCCGATCGAGAGCATGCAAAGCAGATCAAGCAGAGTACTCGACGGAGGTCAGTCACGGTGGTGGCCTTGGGAAGCATCGGCGACGGAGGTGTGGTCGGGTCTTGTGGCGGAGAGACAGGATCTTGGCGTTATGGGGGAGAATGGCGGCGGCAGGCGGGGGTAGATGACGGTGGCGCAAGACAGACGAGCTCGACGACGACGGGATGGCGCGGCCCAAGCGAATGAGCGACGGAGGGCGAGATCGAAGATGAACAGAACAGACGTTTGATATATATAGGCCGGAACCCTTTAATCCCGGCTGGTAACACCAGCCGGGACTAAAGAACATTTAGTCCCAGCTGGTAAGACCAACCGGGACTAAAGGGTTGGATCTTTAGTCCCGATTGGTCTTACCAGCCGGGACTAAAGGTATTTTTGGGCGGGCACTAAAATTGTCGCCAACCCTTTAGTCCCGGTTCTTAGTCTGGGCTGGGACTGAAGGCATGAAAATTTTGACAACCTGCCAGCGTAATTGGAAAGGCCTGGGATTTTGATTTTGTTTAATACTAGGTTAATCAATTAATTCCATAGCAACTTCAATACTTTGCAATATTTATTTTAAAAAATACTATTGATTAACTAATTATTTATTATAAATAGGAAAATTTTGTAACCTAAAGTTTTTAATTTCTTTTATGAATATAGAATATAAATGTTACTAATACTAAGTATTTTGTTAATGCAAAAATATATTTGTAACTTAAAATTAATAAAACTAATATTATTCGATAGGAAATTTATTATCACATTATTGTAACGTCAATGTTTCAATTTTGTCTTGGTTTTTGACCAAAATTGACAGGAAATTTTTGTTGAACCTATAAAAATAAAGAAAATGTAGTATTTTTTGTTTTACAGCTTTCTCAAATGAAAAAATGGCCTATATAAGGATTGTATATATTGATGAGCTTAACAAACTTGGTATTCAAAACTTTTCAATTTGAGACAATCTAGGGTCCCGAAAACTAGTTTGTAGACGTTGAAATTTAAAAATCACAAATTTGAACCATCCAAACTTTCTCAAATGGAAAGTTGAGCAAAACAAAAATTGTAGATCTTTTTGAGTTTAACAAACTTGGTATTCAAAACTTTTCAATTTGAAGTCATTTAGAGTTCATAATACTAGAGTCAAAGTGTTGTTTTTTCATTTGACCAAATTTGACTTGGTCAAACTTGCTCAAATGAGACACTAAATGACCTCATATGAAAAAACTCTGAATACCAAGTTTGATCATCTCAGCAAGATCTACAATTGTTACATAGCTCATTTTCCCATTTGAGAGATTTTTATCAAACACTAGTCACAACTTCTTGAATCTCATATAGACTTTCTAAAACTATGTCACACACTTGTGAAATTTGAACTACATTTTGTTCAAGCTTTCTCAAATGAAAAAATGGCCTATATAAGGATTGTAGATATTGATGATCTTAATAAACTTGGTATTCAAAACTTTTCAATTTGAGACAATCTAGGGTCCCGAAAAATAGTTTGTAGGCG